ATTAATGTGGTTTAGAAATCAAAGACAATAATAAAATGAACAAACAGAGCTGTGGGTTTGAAGGACTACATTCAGTAGCACCCCCAAGTGTTGGTTCTACTGGCCACACCAGAGAAGACCAATGCTCTTTAATGAATCATGCTAATATTTACACAGACTTTAAATTCCTAACATAAAATACCCCCCCCCCCCCCCCCCAAAGGCAATTTAAAAAAATTAAGAGTAAATATAATAATCATATTTTTTTAAAAGTATACATGTCTCTGCTGCTCAACATTTAAAAATAAATTAATAAATAAAACAGTTTAAATCTCCATAATTTTTGTGGGTGTTTTGGTGAAAAATTGTGTTCTTCTCATTTGAGGTGTGTTGGATGCATGTTGTGTTTTAATGAAAAAGTAGAAAGGAACATGCTCTGTGTCACCTCAGGCTAAATTGACAGGCTGACAGAAGTTGTTACACGGGCAAATCTGGTGTGCTCCAATTTTCTCTAGCCCATCTGACCACCCCTACGAAAGTTTTCTGGGGGTGCCACTGACTACATTCTGAGCTGAATTAATCCATTAAGCCTTTCCAACTCATTAATACAAGAGATGACTGAATGGATAGTAGTCTGCCAGTACACAACTGAAAACAGAGTTTCTCCCTCAGAAAATGTCAGTCAGTCATTTACAGCAAGACAAAGTTTTTAAGGCCTCCTCCCTGGAAACCCCCACCCCTGGTGCTCTACAGAACAAGCTCATTTTTATCGTTTAAAAAGGACTATTGTTTCACAAGAGCAGGTTAGACTAATTAGTCAATTAGACTAATTTTATTTGGACTCACGAGGAGTTTATTTTAGTGGCTATAATTTGCAGCATAATGAAATGATAAATATAAATACCCATACATGCTCTGAGTCGCTGAGGTCTTGGATACTGAAAGGTTTCACTAATCCATCATTACTCTTGTTGCAAACATTTCTGCCGAGAAACTTCTTTTATAAAATAAAATGGAAATTCTTTACCTCTGAAAAAAAGAGTTAAAAGTTGCTTTTACATTTTTGCTGCTGCTCATTTATGTCCGATTGTCACTTAAACCCAAACACCTTTTTTTCAACTAGTTATATAAATTACATCTTCTGAACAGGAACGCTTTGAGCAGTCAGTTGAACTTTCACAAAGCAGTCATGTTGTTTCTACATGGCTGAAATAACATGATTGTCTGGTCACATGAGTGCAAGATAACACAAGGAAAAATGGCCTTTCCTTATAGTCAAACAAATAAAGCTCAAGTTAGCACAAAGCTGTGCTCCAATATTGTTTTATTAAGCTCAAGTTGGAATAAAAAATGGTCGACTCTTTGTTTTTAGCCTCTAATGTGTTTTTAGCCTGAAGGAGTCACATGTTGAATGAGAGTTGCAAATGATACAACAGCTGTGCCTTTTAAGTTCAAGCAAATGCAAGAGCTATATCCTAGGGTGCCTTCAGAGTTTTTGGCAAAGGAAGGCTAGTGTCATTTCACGTCTAGAAGTACCAACTTCAAGAAGCCCGGCTCCTAAATCAGGCCGAGATGAATATGAGAGCAATAGCAACGGTTCGATCGTGCTGGGGACAGTCCATCATTATTAATTGGGTTATTTCTCCAAAATACATGACCTACAGTAAAAACTAATCTTTACACATTATATGCCTTGGCTTGATTAGTAATATCTTCACATAAATAGGCTTAGTCACTGATAATTTGTTTATACAGTCATGGAGGAATGGATCCCATTCCCTTAATGTGTTTATGCTACTCATAAATATGGAGGACAATAAAGTCTGAGATCCCGTGACTAATTTCGACTGACTGAGCTGAACAGGACAGAGGTGGAGGAGATAGGTCTTAGAGAAACAATTGAACCTTATGTAACTTCATCCAAGCAAATAGAATTTATCACAAAGAACATGGAATAATTAGATGCAGACTGTTTAGTGTTTGTACAGTTTAAAACAATACTCTGTGTCTTCTGTTTGGTTTCCTCTTTGCTTTCTATTTCATTTCGTTTCTTTTTTGTTTGAATCAACATTTAATTGCGACAGAATGCTATTGTTAGTTTTTCTCCTGGAAACGAGAACGTGAGCTGCTGCTGTCTCAGCTGGGAAAAAGAATCCCACCTGAGACAACAGCACAGACAGCAGTTAATAAAACACTGCCCCCCTTTATCTGCCCTTGTAGAGGAAGGCAAGTGTCATGGATTTTATCAATATGTTTATCAATAACCCATTTCCTATAATGAAGAGAGAAGGAGACAATGAGCAGACAAGTCAAACAGTTATAACTGTGGCATAATGCACGAGGCAAAATGCCCTGAACATCTGTTCACAGAGTTTATTTATAGAGAGATGGGAGTGAGAGAGAGATTGTGTGTGGGAAGTCAAGAATGTGTGTGTGTGTGTGTGTGTGTGTGTGTGTGTGTGTGTGTGTGTGTGTGTGTGTGTGTGTCTGAATAAGTGAGCATGCCGAGAGACATAGAGATATACATTTACATTCAGTTGACTGAGTACATGATCAAGAATTAATAAACATAAATTTGTCCATAACAGCAAGCATCTACATTTCTCCAGCTGTTACTGTTGGGTAATTTCTATATTGCGTCCAAATTACCTAAAAAAAAGTCAGAGCATACACAGAAGGATTAGATCTTTTTGGAAATTATAATCATCAAACAACAATCAATAAACGAACTTTGCAAAGGGTGAAACATACACACCAGAGTCAGAGGCGGTTTGTTCTCACACAGAAACAAAGCTGCGGAGCGCTTTTATTAGGACCAAGTCAAAGATAACCACACCTACATCAGAAGATAACAGGAAGTCTTCAAGGGGGTCTTCACAGCAGGATGCTACAGACAGACCAAAGAGTCACCAAGTCTAGTGCCTAGCACCAAGATGTGCCTGACAATTTGCATTCAGGCAGGAAGCATTTCTACAACACTTTAAAATGTAAAAACTCTGTTTGATTATGAATTTTTACCTGACAGTTACTGCAGTTTTAATCACCTGCTCTTAGTTAATGCTGCTTTAGCAAATCTGCAAACAAGCTAGGTTTTGAACACGATCACGGAACACTCATCCCTCCCCTTGAGTATCTTCCCTGGATCCGCGTCCATCTGAACTGGAAACCCGCACTTCCAGAGAAATCGAGATGGTGCCAAACACCAGTCACTGTTTTCTATATCCAAATATTTGCTTTTTTTTTTGTCCGTGACTTCAAATGGTATTTTTGTTTTTGGGACTCCCGTAGATTGTCCTAAAGTTGAAGTGGTAGCAGCCGGCTGTTTCTTCTTCTCTGATATTATTGAGCAGAAAACCTCGCACCCCAATGGTGTTCTGTTGCTAAATACATGAGTGTGTAGTGAGAGGAGGACCCAGGGAAGTGCAAAAATGCGGCGTTTCGGCAATACCGACAACTGGATGGTCCGATACTTTTGGTTTGAAATGTGTTATCGGCGGAGGTTTTAGACAAATGCAAGAGAACTACTTTATTTTTTTTTTTTTAATCTTCACTATATATATATATATATATATATATATATATATATATATATATATATATATATATAGCTGGAACGTTTAACATGAAAAATAAAAAGCTGATTTGTTTTCCAAATTTTCCAATGCAGCTTTAAGATAAGAGACTGGCTATTAGGACGTAAGGCCATGTCATCTTATGACCAATATTTGTTGCAACAAATAATTTATTACCTTTTTAAAAAATAAAACTTTAATTTCATCAAAAAGTAAAATTGCCAAGGCTAGAAAATATATTTTAGGGCATTTGTGGTATTCTGAAAGTGTTTGAGATTTAAATGTCAATCCAAAAACTGAAAGGATCTGAGCTCATAATAAAACTACATGATTATTTGTGTTATTGCCCTTAAAAGATTGTAATTATTTGCAATTGTTACAAAGAGATCAGAAGCTGTGTTTTGACACAAGTGGCATTTTATCCTCTTGTATAGCCATGTAATAATCAAATGGCAATATAGATTTTTTAAAGTAGAAAATGAATTACATATTACCAGTTATAGGTAATCAGCCAATCATATTGCAGCAACTTAATACCTTTAGGCATTTACATGTAGAGCAGACAACTCCACCACAATGGAGAAGAAAGAAGAAGGAAGTGACTTTGAACATAACACGGTTGTTGTTGCTAGGCAAGCTGCATGGGCACGTATTTCAGAAACTGATGATTTATTGGGATTTTCATCCACAACCATCTCCAGGGTTTACAGAAAATGGTCGTAAACAGACAAACAGACAAACAGAAAAAATCCACTGAGCAGTAGTTGTGTTGATAAAAATGCTGGGCTGATGTCAGAGGAGAATAAGCTGACTGGTTCAAGACGATAGAAAGTCATCAGCAGCTCCAAACCTCTGGCTACAATAAAGCTCTGCAGAACTGCATCTCTCAACCACAACACATTGAACCTTGAAGCAGATGGACTCCAGCAGCTGAAGGCTAGACTGGATGTTCCTCCTGTCAGCTGAGAACAAGAACCTGAGGATTTAATTTACACAAGATCAACAAACTGGACAAAAGTTTTGACATCTAAAGTTGTTTTCCCTGGACTGAATGAGTTCATAAATTTGTTGACTTGTAGCTTTTGCTGCTGTTGGCTTTCACACATATGAAACTGAAAACCTTATGAAAAACAAACATGACAATAATCAGACTGCCAATTGTTCAGATGTGTTTTGGGGCGGGGCTACAAGAAGTAAATACAGGTTGAACTTGTTGTGTTCTGAGCCTGAACTAGATTTTTCACTTAGCCATTTATCAAAAATAAAAGTTTTTATCAGTCAGACTTGACATCTGTCCAATAATCAGTGAGGGATTTTTTTCTTTTTTATCATACAGGTGATCCCTCTGCTCAGAGGCTACATGAGCTAAAAAACACGGTTATGGGAAGGTGTTTGGCTCAACCGCACACTTGGTTGTAGTTCACATTCACACTATGAACAAACAGCTCTTAGTTCAGCTCCTTTGTACTTTTCCTAGTGTGAAAATTGTGTTCACACATGTGTAAACGATCCACAATAAGAGGTAAAAAAAGACATGGGTTTGTTTCAAGTAGACAAGAGGTGTAAAACATAAAAGCTTCTTGCCTTATTTCAATGGTTCAGGCTGTGTGTGTGTGTGTGTGTGTGTGTGTGTGTGTGTGTGTGTGTGTGTGTGTGTGTGTGTGTGTGTGTGTGTGTGTGTGTGTGTGTGTGTGTGTGTGTGTGTGTGTGTGTGTGTGTGTGTGGAGGAGGGGTTCCTGACTCACTTTTGGACCCCTTGGTAACAACTAAGCCTGGTCTACACACCACAGCTTGCTAGGTATCGATGTTGACACTGTTCGTAACTTTATGACCACACTGGACTTCCAGCACGATGATGTCCAACTAAGCAAACTGGTCCCGTGCACACAACAGTGAGTTCGCTGTACTCTAGTGTCCTCTGTAGTCTCCAGATCTCAATCCAGGTCATTGTTTCTAACAGTTTATTGAATCTCTGTGATGAAAGATTAAATCCGTTCTGAAGGTAAAAGTGGGTCCAACCAAACGTGTATTTTTCCCTCATTCAAATGTGACTTTATTTCAAGAGGGATGTCTTATAGACAGTGTCAGATGTTATGAATGATGTCCCGCAGCAAGATAATTATGTCTAATTCCTACCTGGCAATGGATCCTGTCATCACAAGAATGCTACTCGACTCTTATTAAAATTTGCTGTGGGGGAGACTTGTTTCCTCTCAGTTAGACTACCTCTGCCAAGGTCACAGTGGAAGACATTTACAGACGTTCACCTTGAAAAATTGAGCTTCTTGGGATCAGATTAACACCATTACCACCTGACATTTATCTAATCACATGTTGGAGAGATAGTCAGTGCACATTCAGAATCAGTCATTTGAGCTTCAGCAAATAGGAAAGTAGATTTTATCCCAGTTTTTGTCTTGTTGGGAGAAATTAAAAGGAGGGGGGATGAAATGGCAGCAGTAAGCTGAAGCCTATAAGATGCAAACAGTTCCTATACATTTAGTGACCAAGTTGCTCTTCCCATTTATTAGCAGTCTCAGCAGTTCCACGTGTCAGTGACAGGAAAGTCAAGAAGACGTGGGTTTACAGAGCCTCCTCAAACACGCCAGAACTCTCACAGATGATCCACATATTAGCCTTGAGTTTAATGAGGAAAATAACTCACAAGCTGCCAAATGGGAGACCACCTCCTGCAAATAAACTCAGGAAGTCTCATTACTAGTCTCCTTTTAACATGATAGCAACATGCACTTGAATTTATGTGCAACTGACATGCTGACTTATTATGGGGTGTAAATAAGTGTAAGATTTTCAGCAGGATGGCTAAATTTAAACATATTTAGAATTTTCTTTAAATCAATAAAACTGTCTGGTGTTCACATGACAACTGTTTGACATCTGTGTCGACAGTCTTGGTTTCTGAGAGAAAATGAATATCTTTAAAGCTCATCGTGAGGTTGGAGCTCATGCAGATTTCTGCTTTCCAGTCCAGGCTGCCGGAGCAGCTGGCTCCTCACAGCACACCGCCTGGCGACAGCTCCCCGGGCTGATAAATGCTCTGACAGAGGTAAGAGACGCTCATTCAAGTCTGGGACACGCCATATCCAGAAGAACTCAGTCAGATGGAACGTTAAGTTTAAGAAGAAGACCAACTAGACATTAAGAACTAATCTTCCCGTTTTTATGCGTCTTGGCGCGGTGTGGCGCACAGCAGAAGGTGAGCGCACATGGGCGAACATTTGTCAGTTTAAGTCAGTGACCGAAAAAGAAAAAAAAACGTGAGGAAAGTTTAGCCTGGGACAGTAGAGTAACAGGAACTTTTTTTTTTGTCCTGCTCCCGGTCAGGGGAACTTGAGGAGGATTTCTGCCGTGGCACGTGGGATGAGACCACCGGATTTGGAGCAGTCGGACACCACTCTAAGTGCGCATGAATCACGGACACCTGTTGGAAACGACAGAATTCTGCATAGAGACAAAATGCAGGAGGACGGTGCTGTTCCTACAGATGTCACATCTATTCACCTGCATCCTTATTTATCTCAACCGCGGATGTCTGTGCGGATGTCAGTGTACAGCACCGGCGTGCGTCCAGTCCTCACCCGCGCCTACATCCAAGGACGGGTGTATAACTTTCTGGAGAGGCCGTCTGGCTGGAAGTGCTTCGTGTATCACTTCGCAGTGTGAGTCTTTTTATTTCTATAATCTCCCTCGTCCGTGGGGCATTCAAGGGCATAATTGCAACTCAGATCCTAATTAATCAGGGAGTTTGTTGCTCGTGTTGCGCATTGGAAGTCCTTACTACAAAGAACTGTTAATCCTGTGAATTTAAGAAAGATGCTGCTCAGATACCACAGCACAACAGGAATCCCCTCTAGGATCATGTAAAGACTGGCTTGCGTAGGCACAGAGAAGTAGAAAAAAGTCAGAGTTCATCAAATTTATGTGAATATCTGAAAATAAGAGTAAATACTCTTGGGATCACTAAACGAATATTACACACATTTTTCATGTGGGAAACATTTTTTCCCCAGACCAGAGCAGACTAAGTGCAACATAGAGGAGCTGCTGGTTTTGCACTAAGTGATCTCAAACAGCACTGCTAATCAGTCTGGACAGAGGGCATAATAACATATTCACATGTATTAATCTATCCACAAATAAAATGCTACAGGCTCAAACATTTTTTCTAAATAATTTTATTTTCCTGATGCAACCCACCTCTCAGAAATTCACTTTAGCATAAACTTTAGAACCCAGGCAGAGGTTTAGGAATGTGGGATATGATTTTTCCAGCACACCCCCATGTGTGCTCTCTGTCCCCTTGTGCTGGCACTGATAGCAGGCAGCTAAACTTGGCAGGATGGAGGTTGTGTAGGATGTAGTGGCCCAGTCTCATGCTGCCTCCCTGTGACCCTGTGGTGTTGGGAGGAATGCAGCCTGTCAGAGCAGGTTAGCGTCTGACACAAAGGGAGCACCATCAGATGTAATGCAAGTCAAGAGAAGATGAAACACATTAGAATAAGGATGCTGATCACAGAGAAACCTTGTTTTATCTTTTACATTTTTTACAGGCTGCAAGTCGGGTGGGATATGGCTGTTTTATACTTCTGCGATCCATGTTTTGTTAGCAAAATATTCCATAAAACACTATAGATTTTAAAGAATTAGTCTAAAGAAATAGAAATACAAGACCCTATATTATATATAGATATTAACTTAAATGTGGTTGTGTTGTCATTAAGAATCATCCTGACACATTCTGTGTTCCACACATTGACCCACACCTTTACTTAAAAGACTAAGCTCACTGAGAAACCGTTTTTAATTGTTATTCATGAAATTGTATTGGTCACTCTGAGTTGAACATCCAGGCTAAACGTGAAAGTAGTCTTCTACCTGCGCTTCCTGCATTAGACACCAATAGAACATAGTCAATTGTACGTGAAATTGAAAAACTGACTCACCCATCTTGGCTCGTGATGTGAAAGGCTGTTGTTGGTTTAGTGTCCAGGAGAGCTAATTAGCATTAGCAACTCCACCACACAGCAGAGCTCCGTCAGGCTTGTGTTATTTGTGGAGGTGAAGCATCAATGTTGTAAAGCAAACAGAGTCAGTGGTAGAGTTGTGTTGCTGTTAGACAATTAGATGTTGAAATATCATGAAATATGACTCCAAATCCTGCTTTGCTCTACTTCCCTCTCCTTAGGCTAACTTCACTTCCTGAAACAGGAGAGCCAGAGCTTTTTTCACCATAGAGATAGACTCACAAAGCATTTTTTATACTAGAGACCATTGGCCTAGAAATCTAGATGGACCGTAGCAGAAGGCAAAAGGATTCTAGCTACGCTCCATTGTAGCCTCAGTAGGTCTACCATTGGCCTGAGTAGTTTTGTGTCTTGCCAGTCAGAGTGCTCTATTGGTTTGGTGGGCAGACTGTTACTGCGATTGAGCGAAACAACCAAATTGGCGAAGGCTCATTTGAAATGTCTTTGGCATCAACTTAGGACTATGAAAACTTTGGTTTTTCTTTGAGTCAAGAGTATGTAGATCACATACAGTATATCAGACTCAAGGCCCGCGGGCCAGATGCGGCCCGCGGAGCATTTTTATGTGGCCCGCGAGATAAATATCAAAAATATATTAAAACTGGCCCGCTGGCCGATTTTACCGAAAAGACTTCAACTCCCATGATGCTTTGCGGCGTCAGCGTGGAGCCGACGCACCCCCTCCTTTGTGTTTTTTCCAGCGCCTGCTGCCGGTGTCTGTAGATCCGCTGTCTTGGACAAACTACACTCCTCTCACTCAGCGCCGAGTTCACTCAGCTGTTTTCTGACGTTGAAGCCCAGAAACAGAGATTCTAACCGCTCAGTAATGTGTTCACGACTGAAAGAGAAAGTTTTCCAACTAACGTCCAGACAGAGCTGATATAACTCCAGCGAGCAGCGACACGCTCAAACCAGCACGACTCTGTGGTTGTGTTTCCTCCCCGACACACAACAACGTGGTCAAGCTGCTCAGACATGTTCATCAGCACAAACCCATGTGAGCACCTGTTGTCATCTAATGTTGTCATTATTATGATGAAGATGAACAAAACAACAGGAGTCTCCTCCTCAGCTCAGATCAACCCCATGATGCAGGTATCTGGCTGGAACAGGTGAGCATCACAGTAAACCAGTGGAGCAAACTGAGCTTTAAATATGTTGGTTTTATAGTCTTTTTCTGCTCCAAAACATGAAAGTTAACGGGTGAGCTGTTGCATTTTCATTTAAGATAAAATGATATTTTTATTTTGTTGTTGGCCCGTGAGAAAAGATTTAACCTACAGTAGACAGGAAGTGGAAAGACTGCAGATAGATGAATAGAATAGAAAATCCCTTTATTGTTCCTTAGTGGGGACAGCTAGACGTCACAGCAGCGATGACATGTATTACAGGAGAAAAAAGGAGAATAAAAATAAGAAAAATGAATAAACAATAAAACATAAATCCTGAATAGATTTTTAAAATGTTGATTATACCACAAGTAATGAATACCACTGATGCCTTTTATTTAAAACGGACTTGCTCGTGTGTAATTTGGTTATTCTACATTCAGTGTTAATGCAGAAATAAGTATGTTTCCAAATTTAAAGGTTCAAAATTGCATATATGTTGATAAAGAAAATGTGCAAATTTGCCGTCACTTTTTCAAAAAATATTAAGTTTGGCCCTCGACTCCGTCCCAGAGTTTCATTTCGGCACCGTGTGAGTTTGAGTTTGACACCCCTGATGTAGAGGTACCAAACATTTTATGTAGAAAGAGAATGTATTTGCGTTGTTGTGGACAGTTTATGGCAAACTGCCCTAAAGACTGACATCTGTAGCGGTGAGTATATCACATAGTTCGTTGTCAAACAGCATGCAGAAACGGTGTGAAAGACAACCGTAGATCCCGCCCCCTGACTGAGCTCTGTCTATGGGCTGGCCAGACTATATATTCACATATAGAAGAAGGCTTGCCCAGCTATGAGACCACTGCAATTGTATTGAAGAAACATGAACTTGGTCTTTAAAACTTTGCCATTAAATTTGAGGCATCCTTGATGGTTAGCAAAATATCTCCAACAAATGGACAGATTTTAATTAAAACTTCATGAAAATATTTCCAACATGTATGTCTACAACTGATTAACCTTTGGAGTCAGTTAAATTCAAGATGGCCACCTCAGTTAATCAAATTTTACAGACACATAATACGGATAATGACATATGTTTTACGTGGTATTAGATAAAATTTGTTGACAACATGAACTCTGAGTTCTAACACAACCTTTCCACTGGATGCATAAGTGGTGCATAATGTAATAGACTCGTTTTACCCTTCCTACTGGGAGCGCTTCAGACACGAAACAGCAGCAAAAGCAGTCCACACAGTAGGTCCCACCAGATCACAAAATCACAGGACAATTTCAACACCATGTGTGCTGTTACACGATAACAAGTAAGGAGACAGATGACAGCATGTATCCAAAGCCCTGCCTTGAAAGTTGGCTGGTGACATGCACCCCTTGATGAGATGCTATTGTTTTAATATCTACTAATGTTTCCAATTTTGATGCAACCTATTGGTTTTACTGTATAAGGTACTATTTTTGTTTGGTTGGTTAGATAACTACCACTACTACTGCTACATAATACTACATGAGTTGTGTATACAATTATTCTACAGAGCAGTAGTTGATTCTGTAGGCTTCAGCCCCTCTCATCCTTGCACTGCCCTTGTCTGTCATGCTATTTGAAATTTCTTGTTTCTCTAATGTTATTGCCTTATCGGCCTTGGGGTTTAATTAAATTGGCCTTTCACTGTTCCCCCTAAAAAGCATATGATGTCAGCGGCTCTTGTATTGATTGTAAATGCTCAGCAGAGTGAGAAACTGTAAAATGTCTGTGAGAGGGCTGCAGGTTGTAGCATGAAATTGCAAAATTGTACTAAGCTCAGTGTTGGAAAGGCTACAAGGTGGAATTTTTGAATCTCATTCTTTCTGAAAATGTTTCCACTGGCTGGCATTTCACATAAACAAGGTCAAAGTTAAAGATTACATTTTATCTTTTGCATTTGCTTCTGTTGGCGTGAATAGCAACAAAACCACTAAAACTAGATGGACTTTTAGTCATTTTTCTACACAAAGAAAATAAAAAACTGCACATGCAAGTAGGGCTGCTCGATTATGGCAAAAATAATAATCACGATTATGGTGACTGAAATTGAGATCACGATTATTTAGGACGATTTTTCAATTTATGTTGATTTTATTTGTTTTTATTCAGTCATAAAACTGCTCAGGGCACAATCAGGACAAAAATAAGAAACAAGATGATCACTAAAAGAACTCCTGATTCCCAGGATAAAAAGACCAGTATACTTATAGCTCATAGTCTATGACCCAAGGGCTATAGACCTTGAGTCTAACCAGTACAGACCCAAATACCAATATCTTGCAAATACTGACAGCAAGAATTATACAGTGGCATTTATAACAAATAAATGCAAATAAATTGATGTTCACAAAATGTTACATAACATTTATTGAGTCGTGTCAAGGTGCTGTAGCACTGTGTCCTCAGAGAGATTAGTTATCAGCGTGAGGAACTTATTTCTACCTTATTTATAAACTATTTATTTACAGGCCCATCAGTTA